AAAAAAGGTGAGATTCAGTGCATTTAAGGTAGTGCAGTTGAGTATGGGTCCCAGTAGGGAGACGGGCAGTAGGAACGGTTTTGTAAAATCGATCGCCGCACGCGGCTGTTGCGGACCGTTTGCCTCTTTATAACAGTTCTAGCACTCTTCATACAGCTCAATCGTTGTGCGATTATCCTTTTCGCATGATTCTACTAATATTTTGTTCCTGTATTTCTTGATTGCTGCTGCATTCTGCTACATTCCTTCACGCGCGGCGTTTCTCTCGCCGCGAGCGACAATTTCGTTTCTACTGCACCACACCCGTCCCAGTTCAGAACCTACTCGGAAAGATTAGATCAAGCTCGAACAGCTCTATTACATAAAAGTGCTTGAGAAGAACTACAAGAACTTTTGTTTATATGGACTGCTTACAGTCCTACTGTCCTACTGTCCGGTATACTAGAACCGCTGTCCCAAAAGATGAGGTGACTTTTTTTGAAGTTAAGTTATTAAAATTTTCTTCCAATAACAATTTCCTTAACCCTTCTGATGGATTGTCTTTCCGCTCCTCTCAATGAGCTCATAATATGTTCTTGTTCTTTTTTGCAACTTTATCTGAATCCCCCTCTGGTGCCCAAGTCGATGGAAGTTTATTTTCTGGAGGGATTTTTTTTTTTTGAAAAAATCTTCTAGTCGGATGGAACGGAAACTTATGAAGTGCCCTTCTTGGAAGCTTGTCGTGGATGGTAAACCGAAATTTTGCTTGCCAGGTTGCTGTCTCCACTCGTTTTGACGCCTTTTTCAAAATAGGTCTTTGACGTCAGGAAAATTACAACCTTCGCAGTTTCGTCCAAGGTTGAAAAGAAGAATATCCGCTGCTGATGCGGTTGGCTGCTTTCATAGTCCCGATTTGTCCCGCGAGCGCGCGAGCGAATGAGCGAGCGATTGGAGCGGCGCTCCTCCTGTGATCCCAACTGTCAGCTTACCCAGTTTTCAACTAAATAATTTAAAAACTTTCTTCTGAGGCTAGGCGATTACCTTTCTTATGTGTTGTAGTTTGTGTTGTTAATTATCGACTTCGGCTTTAATTCGCTCCCTAGAAATTGCTGTATTTTCTATGTTCTTTTTCACTGTCTGACTGGTTCCTTCAGTGTACTCGAAAGTAATACTTGGACGCCATCCGAGAGCTTTTCAAAATGAGCGTACCGTGAATCCAAAAAAAAATCTCGACTTCATTGCCTTTTCCCATCTCGATGATGGGTTGTATCAGGTACGGGCTTTGTCTTTGTGGTTCTGAACAATACTTATTTCATGGTCTTTTATAGAGACCACCACAAAGCTGAATTTTTTCACAACTGCCATTTTCATGATGCTATTTTTTAGAGGAAGATCTTCACGAACAAGATGAGCCGCTGTTGTGGTTCTTTTCTTCGGCATCGCCGCCGTCCAGGTGACTGATATATCGATCAAAAGCATTTTTATAGTGGTTTGCTGATTCCTTGCATCTCTCAACTAATTTCTTTTCAAGCTCAACCAACAATGCTCAGGACACTGATCAGGAGAAAAAGGGAAATTATTTCATAGGAACTTCAGCTCAACGATTGTGCCTACTTACGTCACAGCTGGATTTGCTGGTTAGCTCTGTTTCAGGAACGATATACGATTTTGTATTTCTTCCATCTGATTAGCATCAATAGTTCTGAATATTCACATTACAATAAGATCAATAAATGCGGCACAACCATTCATAGCCATGAAATTTAACTTTTCATTCACGACTGACTATTCGTGGTCTTTTAGAACTTAACTTTCCATCCTAATTATTAAACTTCTTTTCTAAAGATAAATTTTCTACTTATTCACAACCGGAAGCTTTTCATCAAGAGCCTAAGCGAGAGTGCCGCTTATGTTTTGTAAAAAAAAAACGAGATTAATCTTTTTTCAGTTGATCCACTTTTATTTGGTTCCCTTGTCCCGGTTTCCGATTTGAAGATGTGGAGGGTTTTAATCCTCCAGAGCTTATTATATATGGAGCTTATTATGTTCCAGCAATTTTTGCTTACTTGTACAGCAAAGTCTTTTCTTTACTTTTACCGTTATTTATGGACTTATTTGAAAGCGGTTACGTCCACTATACAGTGTGGGGTTAGTGAAGTGGGAAGCAGTGAATTGAATACTCACTTAAGTACAAGTTACTTCTGAAACCAGAAAACGTACGAAATAAAGGTCCATTTACTGTTGCGACTCAGACTAAGAGTTGGTACACTCCTCTATGTTCTACCCATTAGTGTGAGGCTTTATAACAAGTACACATCACATATTATTGTTATATGTATGCTCACTCATCATGTCATTGTTCTGAACTGTTAACTGTACCGGACAGATTTGTGGCACTTATAGTGCCGTTAAGCCCTATACGCCTTCTAATTTGGAATTCCGCCCTTTCCTACTTTTTCATATAATGTACATTTTGCTACCTTTCTAATGTGTGTGTGTGCATTAACCAGTTATTACTAATATCTTTTCCGGGCAGTCGGTAAAGATTGTGAGTTATACAGCAATAAATTGAGGCTTCAAGTAATTTTCTTCGAATTTCTTTGAAATTCGGTATTTGATGGGAAAGTATAACGAGAAAGAACCGTCGTTTGTTGCACATCTAGTTGAGCACCTAGTTGATCGAATGGTTGATTAAACCAGGTCGGTTTAACAGTCGTTGATGAAAGTATTCCTCCTGTTCCTCTTTTTTTGTTAACCACTTGCAACCTGTAATGTCGAGCAAGTAAGTGGTAAAATGGGAAAGGAGATAGGAGAGGATTTAAAGAGCTTCTACACAGTTTTTCGAACTTTGAATCTGAAGCCTAATACGTGGATATGCTATGATACTAAAATTTCCATCAGACAGATGCATACTGTTAAATACGCTGATTGTTGTTGGTTAAGTGATCTTGAGTTTTTTAGAACCCCTATCATCAATCCTTTTTGAATATAAATCATTGTTTTAAAATAATTCTAATACATTCACTATTTTCTTCTTTGAAGACTATTTTTTTACATCTTAGGAATGTTCTCGAATTAGTTCCAGTGCGCTTCGGAGTGTTGTTTATGTGATCAAGCGAGCATGATAGAATTCGTTCATTCACAATCATACTTTTATCTGCTACGTACAGCTGCTGTCAGTGACAACATCGCTTTCCTATGAAATTTCTTCATTTCTCTGTAAGTTGTTTTCTATTATCTCTAGTTCGATCGTGCTCCTTTTCTTTAGGGTGGAAAGAGACAAAATGGCGGTGTCTCCGCCTGTCTGTTCGTCTTCGAAGGTCTGTTCGCCTTTGATTTTTCATAATTCAATTGGTAGAGGCTTTTGAATTCATACCTTTCATCTCTTTATTTGTTTTGCTGTTTTGTTTATTCGAGCTGGGCGTAATCTATTCGTTTCCCAAATGCTCTTTTCATGCTCTTTTGACCATCCTTTTCGTTTGTGCTCCAAAAACTAACAAGGAAGAAATTCAATAAAAAAGAAATGAAGTTCGGAGGTATACTTTTCTAGAAGATGTGTTCCATTGAGGCTGAAATCTTCCTTCTCTTATGGTCGAGGTTTAGACATTGTGGGCTCAGAATAAGTCTCTGAGTGTTGTCTCTTCAACTTCAATCCTTTGATTTCAGCCTGTTTGCCACTTGCCAGAGGCGTTTGGCATGGAAATATTTCGGGCTTCGCATGTTGAGTTATTTGTTCTCTGCGCTGTCACCGGGCAGGTAGGTACTGATTGATAGTTTATAGAAACTCAGCTGTAAATAACTTCTTTTGACTTCGTGTTCAGCTGTAAATAGTTTCAAATCTATTTGCAACCGCAGTGGAAAACCTTCCTGACTGCTCGTTTCACATAGTTTCGAGAGTTTACGGCTATATTTCAGCGGGTAATGATGCTTCATTAAACCAAGAATTGCCCGAGCCATCGAGATATTGTCCGTTATTCAGAGGCTGGAATATACCGAAAGGAGCACATGTGCTAGTGAATGGTAAGCTTGCGTTCACATTTGTTCGTGCTCACCAATTTGTGCTGTTGTGAAGGAAGAATATTTACTATCGAAACTCTGTATGAGAACACTATAATGTTGGAGGCAGCTTCATGACCGACAATTGGGGTCCCGAGAAGCACTTAGTCGTTGAATCTGACTATGATTGATTCCGTCACGACGTTTGAATGGGCTCATGAATGATACGCTGTCTTTCTTCTTGGGTTGCAGTTCCTTGTGTGAAGTCCCAAAAGTGATTACAGCTAGACCGGATGGGGTCATTCCTCGAAAAGTTTCGAACTGGTTACACTTTAGATTTGACCAAAGTACGACGAACACATTGTCACGATCATCGAATCTTCATCATACTCGCCTTTCTTTGACACGAGAATTCATCGCAAAAGTTTATTGCAAAATGTCCTAAGAGGAATACGACAGAAATGGGATAAGTCTCACTACACGTTTCTTCGACAAACTCCCACTTCCAGTTGGAGAAATGTTTTCGCAAAAAGGTACAGGTTGTTGGAAGGGAAATCTTTACGACAGCACTTGGTTCTTGTTGGACACATGTACTCTATTTGTTGTCATGAAGTATAGGTTACTATTATACACTTTGCTGTCCTTAGGGTAAATGGGTGGTAGTCCATAATGAATGTCGTTGTTACCTATTTTTGGTGACTTTTGTGTGAAAATTGTGTTTGCATATAACTCTGAGGAGCTACTTCCCCACTTCTGTCGTTATCGAATTCACCAGAAGTGCCTCTGACGGGTCCTTTTCATTGCTTCTATTATAATTACCGATTTTTGTTAAATTGCGTAAACTGGAATGTTGTCGTTGAAATCTTCCGCTAAGAGTTGCTATAGTCGTGCACGGCAAAGGCGAGAAGATTGCTGGATTCAATGTGGGAGACGAGAGCGAAAAGAAAGATTTCTGGCAAAGATAAACTGGTGAGTGAGTTATGAGTTGTATATTCCGAAACTTCGAGCATCAGTACCCAATTTCCATGTTGTATTTGTACACATTGCGAATTCTTATTATGTTTCGATCAAGGCAACATCGAACATTTTCCATCATTTCATTCATCGTTCTAAGTTGAATTTATAGGTTTTCAAGTGAAAATCGTATGTATGGAGTAGTTCGGAGAGTGATCATCGCTTTACTGCCGCCTGTGGACCAATGAATCTGCCGCCAGTTGGCGCTGAATCGACGTCGTCGTTAGTGTTGGGAATGCGAAGGCGGAATACTGATTAAAAGTATTTTAACAAGCGTAATTGCTAAGGCCTATTCACTTATTATTTGGTTGTTTTTGCTTCCTGTGAGGATCGCTTGTTGCTGTTGATTACTGGAGGATTTCGTTATTATTCGATGTGAATTTTTTTAGAGATTTCACGATATCGAAGAGTAGTCGCACAGTTTCTCTGTTGCTGACAATGTGTTTAGGAAATTTGTTCAAATTGTTCAGTTGAATTAGGAATAAATCGGTAAGCCTTCATGAGCTGCGAAGTAATTGAAATCTGGATAGCGTTCCATCATTATGAATTCTTTCGAAGTTGTTTTCTTTAAATTGACCTTTCTGGTGTGAGTATAAGAAAATTATTCTTTCTCAAGTATTTATTACTATTATTTTGTGAGTACCAATTAGATGCTTTCCAGAAGGACCTCTTAGGGTGAGGGCCCTTCTGGTTTTTCTTAGCCTTCGTTTCATGGACGAATGTATCACCGTCAAGTTTGTTTCATTCGAGAAGCAAAGTTTCACGCGAAGAGACTTTCCAACAATACCTCCTTATGGTTGTACCTGTAATATCATCATGACCCCTCTCATTTCACCGGCTTACCAACTTGGAGGGCAGAAGTGAAACCAACATCCAAGAACTTGTCCATGGTATAAGTCCCACTACAAATGGCCACTCAAATTGTGGACCCTTCTCAAATCGGTGAGATCGCAAACCAACCCCAAAGACTAGAACCGTGCATAATAGGAAGTACGAACGTACGGGCAGCCTCACTCCACGTCCGCCACTTCATATGGACGCCCATGAGATCCGATAGGAATAGGGCGCCCCACACATCCGCACATATTCGGAGTGAATTGTCACCGTCAGACCCAGTTGGTCGCATCGCCTACATACACGTATGGGAGGAGTGATTTCATGATAACGGCTTTTTTTTCTTTAATGGTGCTCCAGATATTAGCTCACCTCCCAGTAGACATTCCAGCCTGAAGGAATGCGGTTTCCAGTAACAGCACGGTCATATCAGGTGATGTGTCCATGGTCCTATTGATTTTAATTGTTCGAGGAAACCCCGTTTGGTCGATTCCATCGCACCCAGCAATGGTGGATTTGTGTTCACAAAGGCTTGGCAGACTGCTGCTATGTCCGACTTCTCCTTTTGGTGAACCTCCATGCATCGTTACTTCAACTGAAGAACTTGCAAAAGCCTTCAGATGTTCTTCAGAAGCTATGAGTTATTCACAGTGGAATCCTTTCCTGCCTGGAACTTTAACTGAGGCAGAGGCTTCATCATAACAAAGTAACGCCTGTGAAACTGATTGCAACTTTGTGTTTTGCTACCCCATCGGTTACACCACAGCCCTTTCTCCTTTTAGGGCAACTAGAAAAGGCCTTATAGCTAGAATGGCTGTCATTCGGCACAACACTCTGGCACAGGAATGGGTAGCAAAGGATCGGTTAAGTGTTCAAGAGTAGCCTGATGAAGGACGGAGTTGACACCCTGGTCAACCGTACCATCACGGGCGGTGCAAATCGAATCGATGTCGACCCCTCGCGCAACTTCGCTGTTGGATAAGTTTATGAAACTTTCCTTAACTTTCTTCAATCCTTTCCCTTCGTGTTCCAGTTTGGTTCTTTAGACCGATCTTCTTCTTCTTCATCCACTATGCGAATTGGGAATTCCATTGGGTTTCCAATAAGACTATTCGAAAACTACCATTTTATGTTGCTAGCAGAACATTCCTCTTATAATCAGTGCTTCAGAACTTGAACGGCTGACTTACTTGAACGAAAATTCAATACATTTTTGCTTTTTCTGTATGTTTATGTTCATGTTCTATACGCATTTTGTTTATTTCAAACACTGATTAAGATTGTGCCCAATTTATGTAGGGATTAAGTAGTTTGCCTTCGAAATATGCGTATTGATCTGAGCTTCCTTTTATTATTTGTAGATCCTGATAAATGTTTCTTTCCATTTCAGAATGGACCAGCGAAAGAGGGTCCGTCGTTTAGTGGGAGCGCAGCCACGTCAACGGTGAGATTACATAAAGTTTTTCTTTTAATGAGTTGCCTTCGTCCCTTTCAGGCTTCTTGCATTACAGGCTATTTTTCCACTTGCTTCAATCCATTAAACATGATTTCGTTCGATTAGAAGAGAAGCGGTTCGTT